ATAATTCCCAAGTCCTTGATTTCGTTCACTCTTACCAGTGGTACTCCAGAAAATGAATAATCGTGGAGTTTTAGATCTTTCAGTCGAGAAAACGTAGGCACCAATGTGCGAATGCATCAAGTTGTTGTTGTAGAAACTGAGCGTCAGCCTCAGAACAAATCTTGAAATAAAGCTTGAAGTCATCAGCAAACGAAAGCCTTGGTTCATCCAGCACTGCATTGACATCGTTGAAGCATAAAAGGAAGATGAGTGGTCCAAGATGACTTCCCTGCGGAATCCCTGACGTGATTGGAAATGAAGCTGAAGGGGATTCGCCGATGACTACTTCCGAGCGACCACCGTTCAAGTAGGACTGGAACCAAACCAAAAGAGTTCCATGAATTCCAAGCTTTTCAAGCTTCGCTACAGCAATTTGATGGTTGACCTTATCGAATGCTGCAGATAAGTCCAAATATAGTCAGGTTTGTGCCCGTTCAAGCACACTGTCGGTTACGTAAGAAGTGAGACATAAAGGTTTGACGCGGTTGAACGACCGGGAATGAAATCATGCTGGTCTGGGCTTAAAAATTGCTTGCAATGAAAGAATAATTGGTCCATCACAACAAGCTCAAAGGGTTTGGAAACAGCGCATAACGAGGATATTCCGCGACAATTATCAACATTCTTCCTATCGCCGTTTTTGTGTACAGGGAACATGTATGCACGTTTTCAGCAGGACGGAAACACTCCGGATGAAAGTGACAAGCTGAAGATCACTTGAAGTGGCTCGAGCAAGCTGTCAATGCAGTTCTTAAAAAACACCGACGGAATTCCATTGGAACCTAAGCACGTTGACACTTTTAGTTCACGTGCAGCTGCCATAATCGCATCATTGTTGACAGTGACTTCAGGCATAGGTAGCCCTGACGGCTGTGTGTTACTAGATGCTGATGATATCTGTCTATCGGATAGCAATTCGTTGGAGAAAATCCTAGAAAACTTCGAGGCGAACATGTCATATATGGCTTGTGGTTCAGAGGCTACGGTCCCATGCCACTTCATTGAAGAAAACAGGTCACACTCGCTACGTTGCTGTTTGACATAATCCCAGAAAGATTGTGGGTGGGATTTGAGTCGTCGTTGTAAGCCCGTCTGATATCGAATATAACATCTCTTGCTAACGCGTTTATAGCTTATGTTCAGCTTCACGTAGTGGTCACGCAGCGATACACTCTTGTTTTTCGAAAATCTTCTTAGGGCGGCTCTCTTTTGTCTTTTCAGCCTTCGGAGTTCGGGAGTGAGCCATGGGGTACGACCAACGGCTACCGTCTTATTGGGAACATGTCGGTCGCTCGCATATGAAAGAATATGACAGAATGTCTGTGCAGCTATGTTCACATTGGTTCCGTCAAGAATGATCTCCCAGTCTAGCGTCTCAAGAAGAAGAATGATGCTGTCATAGTTTGCATTCTTGAAATCGTAAATGACAGGAGATGGATTGACAGTGTCTTCCTTTACATTTCTTGTCTCGATATTGAGATGCAACGGTGGATGATGAGGTACGAACTTCACCGCCGGCGTTATCAATGGGACATTGTCACAGGAGCTAACAAAACATAAATCAAGGCTTCAATTAACCACTTCATTCGAGCAGCTAAAATGACGTTTACTACCACTCGAACTTTGAAATAAAACATTATTTTGAGATTTTTTCTTCCAGAACCTCGAGAATAGTAGCCAACATTTGTGCGTTTTATAAAAAAAATAGAAATTAGTTGGACCAGTTTTGTGAAATCGCTGGTAGAAAGTTACGCCAAAACTGCTTGACAAAGTGGTCAATTGTTTTCGTTTACAGCATGATTAATCTGCTGGAGTGTAGCAGTGCTGTAGCTGTCGATGATCCTAGTCGTGCACTGGTGAAACGTCGAGTGTGTAGCATCGAGGTAGAGAAGTCCGTTGCTTGATGACTGCCAACAAATTCCTGGCAAGTTGAAATCACCGATAATTGTAATGTCGTCCGTTATTGAAGCTCTGTCAACAATTGATGAAACTGAGTTCGTGTGGGCTTCAATCAATGATTGGTCACGCGTTCTGTCAGGAGGAAAGTAGACAACACACAAGTACAGAATACGATCTACGAGTTCAATCGCTAACCACAATTGTTCCACCGCAGTCCATGCATCGTCCTCAATTAAGTGTACTTTTATGCCTCGACGAACAGCTAGGAGGACACCACCTCCTCGAACTTTATTACTATTAAGCGGACCACGATCGCAACGGAATACTTCATATTGACGGTCTAGAACTTGACTCGAAATAGTGTTCTGATTGAGCCACGTTTCAGTTAGTGCAAGAATATCATAACAGCAATCTGAACTGACGGTCAAGTAATCGTCACAACACGAATTTAAACCACCAACGTTCTGATAAAACACGGTGGATACATCATCCCTAGGCTCGTTAGCGTTAGAAGAAAGTTGTTCTGCGAGAGCATTGCTATCGTTGCGTGTTGTCGGGATAGCGATGTTGTCTTCGACCAAACACAGTTGTTCGGGAAGCGATAGTGTAGCGGCAGCACTAGAAACCGAAATATTATCAGGCAGAGTTGACGTCCAGGGTTGATTGTACTTGCCTTCGATTGGAGTTTGCAAGACCCCATCGTCCATCTCAAACACAGGCCCGAATCGACTGTTGTAAGCTGGCTGGAAGGGCGCGACTGCGTTGAGGGAACTAGGAGCTTCCATTGTACTTGTACAAACCACGCGTCCCGGTGATGAATGAAGATGAATGATTCTCGAGTGACTTCCGTCTGTATGGCAAACTGGTGTAGAAGTAGCTGTAGTGCGATGCGATAGAGTAGTGCTGCAAACGGCATGGAATTCAGGGTTCGAAGAAGCTCTAAATAAATCGTACTTGCCTGAGTGAGCAAGTTGGATAGCCCCCTCATCAATTCCGATGTAGAACGGCAAAGCTCGACTGTGTCGGGTGACTCGGGGGCTTCCATTATACTGTTTGACGTGCGTTCCGTTGTCTGCGAACTGTGGTGATGGCTGAGGGTGTTACTTATTTCGTCGGAGGTCCATCGATCCGAGGAATTTTCGCTAGTCCCCAAAAATCCCGCTCGGCGTGTAGGTTCTCAACCTCCCTGAAGTAGATCCTCTTAGGCCAGACCGATGAATCGAGGGCTGCTTCTTTCAACCCCATATCCACACCAACTTTAAACGAGATGAATGCAAGCTGAGTTAAATGGGTGTCCTTACGCACGAGCTTCCGTACATTGATAGGTTGTTGGGTTTGTAGGCAATTTCTTACCAGTTGTAACCCTCGTCTAGGGTGACAATTAATAACCCACCCTTTTAACGTGTTTGCCATGAGCGTGTGCCTTGTCTGTTATGATTTGTTGTTTTGGTCGCACGCTCGGCAACCACTGCTTTATTTGTAAATATTTTAATTTGTTATTTTCATCGTAGATTTTATTCGTGTAGGCATGTTTTTAAAATTAGAATATAGTGTAAAAATTATCGTTTAAAATTGTCTCGCGTGTAGAATAAAGTTAGGTCCCGTTTCTCCTCCCGCTGCAAAATAAGGCGAAAAACATAAGCAGCACAACATTCGAGCGCGGTTGCAGGAGAACGATGGCGGTTGTTGTATTGTCAGTTATTGTCAGCTAGTAAAGGAAGAAAGTTACGAGCCACGGTTGGAAGTCGACGCGGTTTTTGCCCGGTCCGTTTAAGTAAAAACGATAGTTGGAGTGCCGTTTTCGTGGCGTGTGACAGCTGGAGGGATAATTCCCAGCATCGTCGCGTGGAAGTGTCGTCGTTTCCTTGAAAAGTGCCGTGGTTCGTGAGCTGAAGTGAAGGGTGTCGGATCGCCACCAAGGGAAGCTAAATTTCGAGGATTTTTCCGTTTTCCGGCTAAACCCCAAGGATCCCCGAACACCCACCGTCCTCACTGCGGTGGCTCAGCCAGTAGAGCCAGTCTCGCCAACGCAGTTAAGAGCCAAGGAGGGATGAAGCAGGCAGAACCGAAGGAGCGTTCGCCTGGGTAGTGCACTGAGGTGACTACCGGGACCATCTACGGCGAGTAGTTGGTCCGGTGATTCGTCACCATCGTCGCCGAGGGGGTTCCGATAAAGGAGCCTTGCTCATCCCCCCGCTAAACGCCAAGGACCGCTGCTACGCAGCTAACGTGAAGCAGTACGATCTGCAACCGCCGCCGCTATCGTCGAAGGGCCCCACCGAGTGACACCGAGGACTACGAGGGAAAAAAAAGGGAAAGGTTAAAGGATAATAGACGTCTTAAATTGCATTTTTCTTTTTCTTTTCTTATCAATCCATCCAAATCCGAACGTCTTTGGGGGAAGTACTCTGCTCGTAGCCACCCCGCTGGGATAAATCGGGCCAGCTATAGGCTGGCAAGTAAGCCGCAACTTACACAGTTCGGATATATCTTCCTCCGTTACATGACGAGCAATTCTGGACAAATATATCCAGAATCTCTCTGGCGGTTTTTCAACAGTTTCCACTGTCAAACTACCTTTTTCGATCGACGGGATTTTGGTGTGTCTGAAGAATCATTAGACTGCAGTTTATCGACCAATGATTTAGTGAGCTCTTTGGTTTCCCGAAGCTCGACCTTCAGTTCGTCTAATGGTCCGCGAAATGCATCAGAAACCGCTGCGACAACATCCTGCGGCGACTTCATGGAATTCTGCTTCACATACTCAAGTTTAAATAGTCTTCATTTCTATCTGTTAAATTTACACTATTTTACCGAAATTCGGATCTGATTCGATAAATGCGCCTGAAAAAATGTTTTAAACCATTTATTCGGTTTCTCGTTGGTAACCGAAGAGGTACGGTAGAAAATTAAACCGAGTTTGGTATTATTTTCTATGTGTGAAGACTCAGCAACCAAACGTCACTTTTGTTGAGATCCGTGGTAAAAAAAATATTGCCGAGCTTCTCGGCGGTACTGAAAATGCTGGGGCTAAAAATCTCAAAAGCTAAAGCAAACAATCATTTTAATCTCATCGTTATTACTTTATTCTATCATTTTTCGTGTTTCCAGTTACAACAGTTACAAATAAGATTACTTGACAGTATCAGCTTTCAACATTGTTTAATTTAGATATTTCTTTAGTTTTCCTCTATTCCGTAAACGATAAATTACCTTCCGACTTCTTTCGATCTAACATTCCGCAAGAAAACAAAACAAAACTTTCCACAAATCACATTGCTGCATGTTAAAAAAAATAGTTTTTAGGAATGTTTTTTTATTAATACAATAATTAATCTTATATTTACATCTCATGCTCGCCTTCTTCTGCTGCGGATCCAGTTTTTAATACATCATGTTCAATTCCTCAGTTTGTTTCGATTTCGTTTTTTTAAAAGGCATCCTGTTATCACTCGGCTAATCTTTTCTCGTAATCTTTAGGTGTAGCGATTAGAATAATAGCAATATTAGTACAAAGGCGTCGTTTTCTCTACATCTGGTGAACGAATACATTTGCAGTTTAACGAACAAGTATCACAACCCACTCGCTCTGGCTCTTTCTCGTGGCGGTGCTTGTTTTCAGACCTTCGTCAGAGCGAGAGGGAAAACCGTTTAGTTTTTGTTCTTCCCGGTAGATGAAGGAACAGAAAAATACACACAGACGTTGATGCAAAATGACGCTGCACAATAGTGATTTGCTGGTGTGTTAGTTGTTGTTGTTACTTATTTAAAATTAGTTTAGTAAGTACGGATTTAATATAGGTTTCACATTCGTCAATTCTCGCAATACAATTTTTTTTGGTTACACCGGTAGTAAAAAGTACACTTTAGCTACATAAATTACACATTGTTTAAGTTAATTAATCGTTTCTTGCTTTCTGGGTACGAACTGCTTTTTTTGATATACGGGAATCCGGGGTTTGGGATATGCATAATGGACCTTTATTTTGTTTCTTGGTAGATATGGATGTTAAAAACGATTCACTATAGTTCTTCATACAAAAAATACTGTTGTCACAAGGTCCCATCTTGTTTGTTTTTTTTTTTTTGTTTTTTGGTAGACCGCTTAAAAAGAATCAATAATCAGTAAAATCGTCGATCAGAGTTCACTATCACATGCGGTCCGCGTAGGCCTTGAAGTTACCGGGTGCCAAAGTGACAGAGCTGTCAGTTTCCGATGTACAAAATGGGACGGAAACGACTCACGACAGTTACAATAGATTAGAGGGTTCGAATATAAATGCAATGTGAGTCGCTTCCCCTGCGGTTGTCATTTAGAGGGCGATACCCGGGTAGCTTAAAATCTGACTGATCGAGTTTTTATGTTTAGTGCTTTCGTTTATCCTCATCGATGGTAGAACAGATCTAGTAGGCGACTCTTGCGGTTGTTAGCCGACGAACCGGCAGACGAGGAACCGGTCTGCTGCGATGACGGACGCTGAGGCGTATGCGGTTTTGTACTAGTTTCATTGTTAAGCTTATTCTTCATCTGCTCCTCGATCAGCTCGTGCATGTCGATCTGCCACTGTTCAAGCTGCTGCAGCAGTTCCACCTTCTGCTGGATGGCCTCCAGCAGTTGGCTGTTCGCCTGCATCAGCTCCACCCGGTTCTTGGCCAGTTCGACTTCGGCCTTCGTCCGCCGTTCGATCGCCGCGTCCCGATCCTGACGGGCCTGCACGACCGTCTCGTCCTGGGCCAAACTCGAGTGCGAAGCATCGTCCCGGGCCTGATTTCGCTCCTCGAGTGCACTCTGCAGCTCGATATCCTGCACCGAAAGCTACGGACGGAAAACAGAAACAATCAATCTCCTCTCTCATTGGTAGGTATGCTAAGTACGTTCGACCTACCTTGCTCTCCAGCTGAATGATCAGATCGGTCTTCCTCTTCAGCTCCTCCTCCTGGTCGATCAGCATCGAGCGGGTTTGCTCGAACATGGTCTTGAACTGCATGGCGTCCATGTTCATGATGATGTGGACCAGCTCGTCGGCGGCAGACGATAGCATGCCGCGGTGGAACTTCTCCGGTCCTCGAATTCCCACCGGACCGCTGGAGTGCGGCGAGGGGCCAGCCGATTGGCCCAACCCGACGTCCACCGACTGCGGCGAGGACGACGATGTGTTGTCCATCGAGGAGAAGGACATGTCCGAGTGGAGGCCTGTGGATGACGAGAAGTGAGTAAGTACTTCCCCCTTGAAACCCGGTTGAGCTGCGGGTGATAGGTCATTGGAGCATTAATTTATGCGAGCATAAGAATCTCATACAGATAGCGTAACTGTTATTTGCTACAGTCAGATATTAGATTTACGGCAAAATCCACAGAGATCCAGCAATTTTCCAGATATTCGTAGAAGATCCCTGGTAATTCTGGTATTTTCCAGAAGTTCTCGGAATTTTCGAGAACTTCTCTGGACTTCCTCGAGATTCTCTCAACTGTCCTGAAGTTTAATGGACTTTTCTAAAGTCCTTCGAACTACTAAAAATTCCTAAAATTTTCCTGAAGTAAATGGAGCTGCTTTGAAGTTGTCGACGCTACTCGGAAATTCTCTTTACATATTTAGATATCCCTGAACTTCTCTGGACTTCTCTAAAGCTCCCACAATTTTTCCGAGAATTCTAGCAAGTTCCTGAAGATGTAACCTTCTTCTTCTTCTTCTTCTTCTTCATATTTCAAGGTTATTGCTTATCGCATATTCCCCTTTATTCTGCGCAGCGAGTGAGGTGAGGTAACTCGCTGTCACCTGTCACTAGTGAGGTGACTCTCCGTGTAAATCATATGAAAAGTCACCTCACTCGTGGTGACTATTTCACCTCACTGGTGACAGCGATACACCTCATCTCACACGCGGCGCAGAATAAGGGGGATTAGCTTGTTGCGTGCTCTCAATTTCTATATGTGTTCTAGACGCACTTCCATAGTTATTAATTGAAAGCTTTCGATGCCTGTACCATTTTTGCATTAGTATAATTGTCATACTCATACTCTATGCCTTTATTTTCAAACCAGAACAATCCCTAGAACGGACCGGGAATCGAATCCAGCCACACGCTTATTCTGGTCAACTCAAAATTGAGTCGAATATATTCATCTCAGCGGCAAGTAGGGCTACTCAAAATTGAGTAGCCTTATGTTGACTCACTTTTAAGTAAACGACGTTCTCACGTAGACTGAGTCAAATCCACTGGCCGGTATTTTCAGTTGCGGGGAGGGTTTTTATTTTGATTTTTATTCAAGGAAATGGAAATGCCCTGCTCCGGATTCATTCTACCGGAGCAGAAAATGGTTCAACACCGTTTCTCTAAGCAATTCAACATTTGCTATGAGGTTAGCGCCGAAATGACTGGCATTTTTTCCAAGTCCAGGATTTTGCTGACTGAGTGGCTTTTATTCAGTTTGACATTTCTCGTTTACTCAATTTTTGACAACTCGATACATCGGACGAAAGTGAGTACGATCGACTCACCTGGTGAGTAAGCAGAAATTAGCGTGCACCTCCGCCATGGTCTTGCTTTATAGCTGCGAATTAATCGACTGAGCTAAGGCAGACCAAAAATTGTAACCATTTTCCATAATTTCAAGAAACTTCTTTAAAATTTCTGTAATTTCTCTGGAGCTAATGGAACGGTCCTAAGATTCTCTGATCTTCCCTGAAGTTCTTGGAACTTCCCTAGAATTCATGAAATACTTCTGAAGCTTTTAGTAATTGATAACCTCTGAAATTCCGGTGAGCTTACAACAATGTTATGAAGTTTTCACATCTGTGAAGTTGTAACTTTGGAAGCATCTAAAAATTTCCCAATATTTTCCGGAAATTTATGGAACTAAAATCATCTTTCCTAAACACATTCAAAGTGTTTTTTATGTTACTTCATACGCGAAGTTAACGATTTTCAGAGTTGGTTGGAAATGCTAACATGAAGCTTTAGTGTGATGATTTATTAGCTAGAGAATGATCTTTAGAAGAGGGTAGGTGGATAGTTCCGTTAGAGTACGGCAGTATGAAAATTGAATAGAAGTTGAAAATGAGCGAAGGGCCATTAATGCGACAGTTTTTGAAGATAGACGCACATTTTTACCTAACCCGTACGATGTACGCGGGGACTTGAAGTATGTCTCCAAGTCCACAGATACTCTAACGGAACTATCCACCTACCCTCTTCTAAAAATGATTCTCTAGCTAATAAATCATCACACTAAAAAAAACTTCATGTTAGCATTTCCAACCAACTCTGATCTTTCCTAAAGTTTTCTCTACTCTAGAAACTGCCCTGAACTGTACGCAACTTTTTTTTAAATGTTCCCGCATTGTCCTGATGTTTATGAAACTTTCTTGAAGATCTCGGAGGATCTTCCCTAAAATTTTCTGAACTTCCATGAAATTCACGAGGTTCTCTGGACTCCTGTGCTTTGAACTTCCTCATATTCACAGAACTTCTTCAAGGTTTCCTAAATTTTCCTAAAATTAAAGCGAAACAATTTATGAAATTCTTAGATTTTCAGTGAAAGTCACTAAATTTCCCTTAAAATCAAGGAACTGCCCATCTAAGAAACCCATATTTCTTCACGAATTTTTCATTGTGTCAAAATTTCATGATTTCTTAATGAGCTGACTGGTTCCAAAGAACCAGTGCACCTTAGTGAGCTGAGCGGGTCAGATCCGCTCAGTAAGACGAGCTACTTTACCCAGTTCTACTTCCAATAGTAACAGGTTGTAATAGTAAGCAAAAGCAACCTCAAACTCACCGAGAAATGTTGATTTAACCGAGTTATTAACAAAAGAGAAAATCGATGAAGAGATTCGGTCACTGCAGTTAGGCCAACAATCAATACGAAATTAACGATTTAAAATTGGTCCAAGCAAATCGATAAACGTACCCCGTTCCAGTATTACTTGTTTTGATTCGCTATGAAAGTTTGATAGATAAAATGAGGGGTTCGTGGATTTTCCTATGTTTCGAGGGGTGCATCGATTAGCTTGGGACCGAAGATAGTACCAGAGCTGAGCCAAAAAGTTGAGCTTGTTTCTTCGGGACCTTCTGGTCTTAGAGTTACTTCTATGGTTAGGCCCTTATGAGGCTGAACGCTAGAGTATTCTTCTCAAGTATTCGGCCAAATGAAATTTCAAGATGAACATTGCATTAGGTCCTAAGTAACATTGACAGATTCTCTTCGTCGACTTTTTTGGCTCGAAATCGCTAGGTATCTCTATCTGGGAGGGGACTTTTGACAATCGGGTAGCGATTTCGAGCCAATTTGCTGTCAAATCCGAGCCAGTTGCTGATTGGTCGATTTGACAGTAGCAATCGTGGAATAAAAAGGACAGAGGGATCACATCAATCTGACTGGCAGTGATGCCGGAATCAATGTTGACGTCAATGGCGTTGTTAGTTGTTTATATTTGCGAAAGTTAAGTTGGAAAATAGGGTCCACGGCGTGCTTTAAGCGATGGATATTCTTGTTTGTTTATGGTTGTTTTTATTGTGATAATCAAACATGATGTACAAGGTGCTAAACTGCAGTAGAAACTCCGAACCAAATTCAAATTAAAGTAGAAAAATCATTCTGCAATCCTGGCATCATTGATCAACTCCGTCAAACACCATGCACTAATTTTCGACGGGCATTCATCAAAAATATTAAGAAGAGTGAGAAGCTGGATTGTCAAGTCCCGTCCCGGATAGATACCACCGCTAGAAACCCCTCCAACTCACCGGAATCGTCATCGTGGTGTGTACTCCGCAGCGTCTGGCAAAGCGTCTTCAGCTGCTTGTACACGGACTGTGCCTCCTTGTACAGTAGAAGCGTTGCTTCTTCATTGGCTCCGCCCCCGCTTCCGTCCATCATCATCGAGTCGTCCTCGCCGCTCATCTCCTGCAACAGCGACGAATGGTTCTGATCGCTGTGGTTCGAGCGCTGCGAATCAAACGACTCGAGTCGCTCGCTGAGCGTGCCGTTCTCCCGCTCCAGCCGATCCAGCGTCTGAACCGTCATTTGGTACTTGGTATCCTGCTCCTTGGTGCTCCGCTCCAGGATGTGTATCCTCTCGGATGCTTCGTTCAGTGCCATCGAGAGGTTTTCCTTTTCGCTCGACGTCATGTGTAACCGATTCTCGAGGTCGTTCTTCTTCTCCAGAATCATCCGCAGTTCATTTTTCAGGCTCTCCAGACTATTGACGTGGTCCTGTATGCTGATCGTCCGCCGATTGCACTGGTCCTTGATCTCCTGCAGCTGAGTCGACAGCTGCAGCTCGGCGGCATTGGACTTCTTCAGCTCGTTGGATAGGCGGGTGTTCTGGGCGGTCAGTTCCTCGATCAGCTGGTTCTTTTCCCGTTCCAACTGTCGCATCAGCTGTTCCTGTAGTTCCAGCTTCTGTTTGAACTGCTTGATGTCGGTCTGCAGCTCCAGGATGACGGCATCGTTCTCGCTCGAGGTGATCTCCAACTGCCGCTTGAGGATGTACTTTTCCTGTTCCAATTTCTGAAAGAAAGCATGAGAAAGAGAGTAGGTGTGAAAAAGTTGACAAACATAGGAGGTGGAAAAAAATCGATTGGAGAAGCGGCATCGTCGTTGCCAAAATTGGTTCGATGACCATGTGAGCTCCCACCTACGCGCACTCATTAAATGTTGCCATCGGTCGAGCCGCAGTTCGAGGCCGGCCTACTTTGACAAATGAACACTTTGTGTTTCGTTTTCGTGGCGACGCGACGGTGGACTGCTTGGATGGTGGAGATATAGATGTATGAACGCATAAAAGGAGCTGGTTGTTGGGAGGGGCGTATGTCTCATTATTTACCGAACGAACGAACAAGTTGATGAAGAGGAGGACATTTTTGGTTTCGTGCTTCACGGTTCGCCAGCGCTAATTACCCAGTTTGACCTTCTTCTCATGAGGTAAGCTGGTAATTGATATTGGTTGGCTTCGCGAGGAGATACCTTTAGGTCACCACGCATGATGTAATATTACAGTCATTGGCTCTAGTCAGCATTATTCATTTTGATAAAGTTGACACAAGTAGGAAACTCATTGCGCTTAAAAACATGTAACGCATGACCAGACTGGCTTGTAACATTGTAGATAAATCCACTGTGATAAATTCCATTGATATTTATTTCACACATACATACACACACACACACACACATACACACACACTTAAAAATACCTAATCTTACACGTGACGGAATCAATCATTGACATAAAGGATGAGACGTAAACAAACATGTCATGTAAAATTGATGAATTTACGTTACGGTTGACCAACAGATAGAAATGATGTGAAAATGATAATGACGTTTTGCTACCTGTCGAATTAATTATATGATTTGAGTAGTAGCTATACTGAAGATCCGAGAGATGGCGCCCCTTCAGTGGTAGGAAAATCATGTTTGCAGTATGGACAATATCAGAAAATCCACGATTTGTGACTAAATATGCTTTCACAGAAGGAAACAAATAAACGAGTGTTTACCTTATCACCATAGTAATGTACTCGTGCAATTTTCATGCATCTAAAACTGCCCATAAAGACGATAATGCATAAAAACTGAAAATTTTCATGCATTTCCAAATGGTTTCCTACCATTCCCATACATTCGAAAGTGACTGGCTCTCACGATGTGGATGATGTCAAAGACAACTAAACATGATTAATTGAATGGAATATTTTTTAGCACATCATCAGTTTTGTAATTGCAAATCTGAAAACTAGGTGTCGCATGGCCAGTTTTACCTTTGCGTAAATTCGTCAGTTAAGTGCTCCGAGACTGAAAAGTTCGAAATTACGTTTGATTGAGCTGAATTTTGCGTCTATTATGACTCAATTTTATGTCAAAATTGACGCTCGTGTACCAAAATTGATGAAATTTTGGATTTCGGATCCATTTTTAATGCAGATACCAAATATGCATTTACCTCAATACCCCGAAACAACCCAAATAGAAAATAACCATAAAAGAGAGCCTAGCGACGTATGCGGGGTATCATCCAAACCATTTTTGGGATATTTTACCCATCCGGAATACAGTTCGTTTATGGTATTTGTTTATTAGGGAACCCAATTCATGATATTTGAAATATTTCATAAAATGAGAATTAATCTTTTAGAACTCGCGCTAAATTTCGTAACATTTTGTTAGTTTTATCACTGGCAAACAGACGTAACTCTTCATTCTAGATCATCGTTTGCGCATTAAACGATTGGTTTGAATGTTATCGTTTCCGCGAACTACTCGCCGCAGCACTGGCGTCGGATCACTTTGACGTTTCTATATATTCGGTTTTAAGTTCATGCAAGCTTGTTTGCGAATCAGCTAGCAAGCTTGTTTTCCGCGAGAAGCTCGCGAGATGTAATTACTGGAGTCCTATGCTCTGCGGTACTATGTTTTGCAGATAATTTTATTCAAAGAGTTACGTCTGTTAGTCTGTGGTTTTACAATCATTAGCCTGGACTCTGACGTTAAAATTGTTGTTAATAGTTTCTGCAAATTTGGAAGATTTTTCAGTTTATAAATTAGTTCTGTGATTTATGAAATTGAAAACTTATCACTTCAGGGGAAACATGTCAGAAGGGTATAACTCGAAACGTAAACAATGACTTTGAACGTTTTCTCTTGAATGACCACACACCCACGGAATCGGACTACACTAGCTCATAGAACAAACATCTGTCAGATGATTTAGTTAGTTTAAGTTAGTATGTAGTCATTCGTAAGAAACCGATGATCCAAGTCATTGTTTACGTTTTGAGTTAGACCCTTCTGACATGTTTCCCCTGACTTATCCACATGCGCCAATCCGAATAACACAGAGCAAGAGGCACTTCTACCAACCGGTGGAAACTAACCATTTTTAATTGGTTCACTACTTGACTAGCCTATTGGTCCCAAGCAAATCGATTAACGCACCCCATTCCAGTCGGAATTCTACACGGTAAGAAAAAATACTCAAAATTAAGTTAAAAAAAACTCAACGTTGGGTTCTATCATTTGAGGTCCGCCGTTGAGTGAATCAGAAAAGCGGCGTTGGTTAAAATTTACTTAACTATTGAGTAATAATAAATGAACTCAAATATAAGTTTATTTTCATTGAGGTTGCTTTTATGCGGCTTTAATCATTTCAATTTCACAAGCGTTGATAGACGAGTGGTCAACACACGGGCCCCGTAATCTCAACGTCCATGGTTCGGTTCCAGTCTGCTCCGTTTTATATTTTTTTGTCAACGCCAGGATTACTCAAAATTGAGTTTATTTCTTTAACTTAATTTTACCTAGCCCCACGGAAGCCACGTGATGAGTGAAAGGAACTCAATTTTGGGTACTTTTTTCTTACCGTGTAGTACTATACTATGTTTGTTTTGATTTGCTATAAAAGTTTGACAGATAAAATGAGGGGTTCGTGGATGTTCCGCTTGGGACCGAAGATAGTACCAGAGCTGAGCCAAAAAGTTGAGCACGTTTATTCGGGACCTTCTGGTCTTAGAGTTACCTCTATGCTTCTACTCACTTGTATGAGAAATTTCTAAAAACTGCAGGTACCCAGCGCTGGTTCATGCAGTGTTTAGAAATTTCTCCATACCTCGAGCAGAAGTGACTCTCCCTCTGAGTTATTCTCATTGGCCATGCATTAGAAAACAAGACGATTTCTCGTCTGAATCGCAATTGATCGCCAAACGATACCTCATTTCAAATGGTTCAAGATGTTTAAATATTTATCCAGCTTGCTGTGTTGCGGTATCAATGCTCCTCATCACCTCCACATGGCTTCTAATGATCATAATGGATATATCCATCGGCATAAGTATTCCATTTTCCACTCATTCATTTATTCATGTTATCGCTCGCATGCTGGGAGACACGAAACCCGCCGCCACCACTAACGAAAGAGCTCATCATTATTTTGACATTAACTAGCGCAGCGATGCCGCAGCCTTCGCCCCGTATCCGTATCGCACTTATTGGCATCCCAGTAAGCCATGCCACGCCATCATCCACTTTGTGTCACCGCGTCGCTTCGCGTCAGTCGTGCCGATAATCGATTCGAGTGTGGGTGAACTGGACTGGACTGGATGCAGCAATTTTGGTACGGTAAAATTGTTGTTTGAGTTGAGTTGGAGGAGGCCCCACCTTTACCCTGCGCCCCAACACTCAGCTCAGACTCGGGCAACGGCTGATGTCATGTGAGGTGACAGACAACTCTGAGTAATCCACTTCAATCCCATTAGCATTTGCGAGTTTGGTCGCTATCGTCAATCGTCTTCGTCGTTCAATGATGGTCCTATTCGTATGCTTTTTTTTTTTTGTTCATTCAATCCAACTTGAGAAAGCCGCAACATTTAAAAATGTGAAAACAAATAAATCGAGCCTTGAAGGCGCTTTCAACCCAAACAACTGAGCGAGTCGATTCAATCAACTGTTCCGCCCTTCGCCAGTTGAAGATTCCAATTAATTTAACCAGGTTTATTTTTTGTTGATTCCTCGCACTAAATTGCTTTTTGAACCTTCTTGATGTTTCGCAAGTCGCCTCGAGTCAGAAATGACTAAATTTTGGACGACCGGTTACAGCTCATCGGCGGTATGGGAAATTAATTAGCGACGACGAGATTGAGGTTTTTTTTCTTCTCTGCCCGAAGCTGTCAAAATCCAATCAAAGCAATCATTGCCAATGAAAATAAACACTTTTGAGTGAGGCACACGATGCAGCCCCTAGTGTGTTTTTCGGTTTGATTGCGTTTTCTTTGTAGTGCAAGAGAGCGATTTATGGCAATTCGATTGAGATTTATGCACCTAAAGCTATCTGAAACAATCGAATTAACAATCTGGATCAATTCAAATGTTGCGTGATGATGGATGATTGGAAGAGATTGCCATCGATGTGACACAACTCAAGTCAACTAGATCACTCAAATGTGAAGCCTTCTCAGAGCTTAACAAGCTAACACCATAGAGGTAACTCTAAGACCAGAAGGTCCCGAAATAACGTGCTCAACTTTTTGGCTCAGCTCTGGTACTCTCTTCGGTCCCAAGCTAATCGATTCACCCCTCGAAACATAGGAAAAACCAATAACCCCTCATTTTATCTGTCAAACTTTCATAGCGAATCAAAACAAACATTGCGTAGTACTAGAATTTCGACTAGAATAGGGTACGTTAATCGTTTGCTTGGGACCAATAGGCTACTAAAGTGGTGAGCCAATTTAAAATCGTTAGTTTCGTATTGATTGTTGCTAACACTCTGAGGACTCTCTCTCACTCTATTACTACAATGGCCCAGGTCCCTGGTCTAAAGACCAGTCTGGGGACCAGACATAGTGGGCTTTTGCGGCGACTAGCTCGAGCTTGAGACGGAGCTCTCAAGGTCGGCTCCGGACAAATAGGGGACACTGATCGAACACGGTCACCTACACTTTCACTAGTTAAGTTTTATTTTCCAAAACCTAGTTACAATTTTTGGGCGTGTGTGTAAGGGCCACCAGGATATC